CATCTAACAAACAACTTCACACCCCCAGGACAAAGGGGAAGCATACCCAGCATAGGGCAGATTAGGGTCAGCAAGAATCACAGCCACTACAGATTTATTGATTATAACCTCAAAAAACCAAGACCTTTAAAACATTCAGTCATTGTGTGCTATCTCTTCACAAAAGTGCTGCAATCACGGTACACATTAAGTTTAAAGCTGCTACTGTTTTCTTTTAATGCTGATTGCTGAAGAATGAATTTGTATACAAGCATAAAACCAGACCAATAAAACTTTTAATCTGGTTCTAACCTAATATATTTGGAGCATTTTTTAAAAGTTAAGAGGCAGAAGGCCCCACTTTTTTGTCTCTTATGCTGGATTTGCAACAGGGCAAATAATTTATGAAAATGTAAATAATATATCCATAAACTGAAACTAAAGAGAAAAGCTTGATCAGTAATTCTTGTTACTGATGTACTGAAATGAAAAGAAGCCTTTGATGCAAAATATATTTTATATTTCTGCAATAGGAATTTTTATTTCTGATGTACTGACCACCATGGTCAATTGAAAGTTTACCAGTAATTTCAGTCGAATCACAGAATGGAATGGAACAGAATAGAATAGAATCATTTGGGTTTGAAAAGACCTTTAAGATCATCTAGTCCAACCGTAAGCCTTACTTTGCCAAGCCCACCAAGTAGTTGCAAAGCAAACTTTTTGTAAAGCCCCTCTCATTATATCAATCACTGCCATTCCTGTGCTCCTTCACAGAAAGGTCTCGGTCAGATAGGACAGGCATTAAGTTTAGAATGAGGTGAAGTAAGGATGAAGAAAGATTTACCTTTGTGTTTTGTCATTCAAGTCTATAAGTGCTTTAAAAAGAAGACTTGTCAGCTGTAATAGATCTTTAGGAACCTTAACACAGATAAATTATAAGATTATCTGCCGCGCAACATTACTGTGAAGTACACACCATGTATTTAACATATTGTCTGAAATGTGACTCCATAGGGAAAGAGTATGATCATCAAATGCAAAGGAATTGACATCGGTTAGGAGATTTTAATGGCTTTTTAAAATTTCATGATGAAACTACGTTTGTGGGATTGTTTGGTTTTTTCCCCCAGATTAGGGAAAATGAAGAAATATCAAGAAACTGAATTCTGCTAGTATCATGTTTTAAGTCAATCAAACACTTAAAGCTAGTGGGAGCTCATTTGAACATAATTACTCATATTGATACATGTTTGTACATGAGGTTAACATTTTTAAGCATTCTGCATCTTCACTAAATACCTGGCATTTAAATGTATTTTTAAGCCATACGCAATTAGGTGAAACAGAAGGGTGAGTAATTAGTAAATAACACATGACTCCTGGAGTAACTCCTGCATTGTTTTCTTCCCTGTGCTTCAGGTTTTCTAAGTTTCAGATTCAAAAAAAGGCAAAAATTCAAAACCCAGCTTCAAGCCTCACTTAATTTTGAAGGAAAACTGTTATTTGAGTCCAGCTTTTTGCAAAACTGGGCTCCAGTCCAAGTTTGCTTGTAAATCTTGTAAAGCTTGCAGGCTGAACGTGAGCTGTGTATCACAGATCTGAGTCTTCTGATGAATGCCACATAGGGGAGCCCCTGCTGAGCTCCATTTTCCAGCCTTGGCTGCTCCTTAAGACCTCAACCAGCTTGTTTGGAGCTAACCTGTGTATTTCTTCTCCATGCTGGAGTTACATGTAGAGAACTTTTTTCTCCTTCATCCCTGAGTTTCAGTGAGCTTCACAGGTATTCAGTTGCACTTAAGTAGCATTCACTACAGGATAGTACAAGATTACTTTGCAGATAGTCTCGTTATACAATTGTAAATAGCACGGTAGATTTGATACTTCAAATATTGTCCTATTAAAACACAGCATTATTTTCTCTAGCATACTTTTCATATTTCAGCTGTTGTTACAGTGTTATTAGTACTGATGCAACAGTCACAATCTGGACCTGACAGTACTAGGTGGGGTGCCAATCCACTCAGGCATTGCACCGTTGCATCGCTAGCCATGTGTTATTGCTGTTACAATTATTATTAGTAATAATTATTGCCCTTAGGAGGGCATAAATAAAGGATGGATGCAGCATCAGAAATATAGGCTTACAGAAGATTACACTAATGATGAAAGAAACATCACTGTATAACACTATATTTTTCTATTTATTAGTTTCTGTTATCTTTTAATCTTTGTTTTCTGTATGTTATATTGAAACAGTACGTCTGGGGAAGAGTGATTTTGATTATTCCCACCTACTGAAGCTGTTTTCCATTGCGTTTTGCACAGTCATTTGAATATTCTCTTGTGCATCCTTTTCTGCTTGCCCACTTCCACGGGAGAGCACCTTTTCCCAAGTCCACAGCTTGGTGAGCAATGTGTGGGCTCTAGAAGAAGCACAGCTGGGAACTGAACACTACCACCTCCCTGTTGAGCAGAGATGACATGGGTGAATGCTGGATCCTTCAGGTAAGGAAGCAGCCGGACAAAGCATTTCCACCCTTTATTCTGAGAGGGTATTGTCGGACTGTTAATCCATCCCTGTGCTGTCTACTGCAAGGCTGTAGGTGTTTTGGGGCACAACTAACAGAACTTCTAGTCTGTGGATCTCATCAGAGTTTAGACGTGAACTGCTAATCTTCAGAGTCCTAGCAAGGACCAGAACCAGTAGGATGGGTTTTCTTTTGAATATTCATGTTCATAAATTGATACGGGACAGTGATACCCTTAAGCATTATGGGGCCCCAAGAGCAAGTAGATGCCTTAAATTACACTTTAAGAAGTAAATCTGTCACGGCCTTGTGCAACCTGAATGACTCCGTATTTCCAGCCTCTTTCCCCTGTGCATTTCTCCAGACATTTACTCCACTCCCTAGTGTTTTCTCTCCACCCTATATCTCTTTGCTATTCATCATGTGTGAAGCAAGACTTCTGTCTTCCGTCTTCCGAAACACGTGGCTCTTCAGTTACTCACTGTACCCTGAGGCCACTGCTGCCTCTATGCCCCGTCAGGAAAGCAGAGGTGCTCAGAGGAGCAGTTGTAGAAACATAGAATAGAATCATAAGAGTAGTCTGGGTTGGAAGGGACCTTCAATGGCCATCCAGTCTAACCCCCTGCAATGAGCAGGGATATCTTTAACTAGATCAGGTTGCCCAGAACCACATCCAGGCTGCCTTTGTTTGTCTCCAAGGATGCTGCATCCACCACCTCTCTGGGCAAGTTGTGCTCGTGTCTTACCATCCTTATTGTAAAGAATTTCTTCCTCATATCCAACCTGAATCTCCCCTATTTTAGTTTAAAACAATTACCCCTTGTCTTAACACAACAGGCCCTGATAAAATGTCTCTCCCATCTTTCTTATAGGTCTCTTTGAAAGGCTGCAATCAGGTCTCCACAATCTTCTCGCTTCCAGGCTGAACAATACCAACTCTCTCAGCCTTTCCTCATAGGAGAGGAGCACTATCCCTCTGATAATTTTTGTGGGCCACCTCTGGACAGTCTCCAACAGGTCCATGTCTTCCCTGTGCTGAGGACCCCAGAGCTGGATGCAGTACTCTAGGTGGGTCTCATGAGAGCAGAGTAGAGGGGAAGAAACACCTTCTTTGACCTGCTGGGCATGCTCCTTTGGATGCAGCCCAAGATATGGTTGGCTTAGTACCTGAAGTGTTGCACTTGATGTGGCCAAACCATAAAGCCTATGGAAACCTACAAAAGCTGGGCTGTGGATAGCCTTCAGCCTGTTTGACTCTGCAGACTGCAATATCATTTTAGAAATTGCTATTTCGGACTTGCATTCAAACCCTGAATCCTACGTACCTATAGGTAGGTGGATAGGTGAAGACAACTGGGAGCTCTTCCCACCAGCTCCAAAGTGCCAGCTCCAATCCAGAAACAATGTAGATGAGTGACTGCATGCTGTACAGATTGCAACTGAAATATCAGGCTGGCTTCGAGCCTGAGCAATGTGAACACTCCATTCTTCATTTGTGGATATCAGCTTTGGTCCTTTTGCCACCTTTAAAATAGAGATGAGCACTTTTTTTGGTTTATAGAAATTGTTGCGAGTTAATGGATTCAAGATGATGTGATCCTTAAATATAAAGGATGTGAAAAAACAGGAATACTGGGTCTGCTCCTTCATTTTCACCTGTTGGACTAATTAAATATACTCGAATATCATTATAATTACGTAATTATATGTAATTAAGTAAATAAAAATGTACAAGCATATGAAAAGAAAGAAAACCAAACGAAAATAGCAACCCATTTATTCCATATCTAAGAAAGCCAGAATTGTCACTGAACTTTTGACTGCTTTAGTGAATAAGCTAAGAGATCTTTCTCTGGATTACTTTCCCCATTATAGCTGCCACAGAGACTGCTGAACACGGGTAAAATAACGGACGAAACGGAATTTGTCCTCTCAGGGGAACCTGAAATTACTGTCTATGTTAGAGGAGCGGCTGGGACGGGGTGAAGCCTGCGGACTCCCCGCCGTGGCCCCAGGGACCCGCTTACCACGAGCGGCGCCGGGAACGGGACCTCGCGGAAGACAGCTCCCGTCCGCGGGGCGGCACCGCGCCGGGCTCGCCCCTCCGCGCTGGGGAACGCTGCTACATTCAGCGGCGAACGAGCTGTATCTATGTATATATGTGTTTGAAAACGCAGCCCCGGCTGGTGGCACAGGGGCTGTGTGAGGCTGTGCTTAAACGGGAGGAGGAGGCGGGGGGGAGAATTAAAACAAGGCACGAAGCGGGTTTAAAAATAGCGTCCGGGCGGCGGGAGGTGAGGCACGCAGCCCGCGGCGGGCGGAGCGGGGCGGGAGCGGCTCCCGCGGGGGCCCTGCCCGGCCCGGGAGTTCCTCGGCTGCCTTGTAAGGAGCGCGGCAGCCACAGCGCCCGGCGCCCTCCTCTGCTCCCCGCCCCGACGCTCCCCCGCTGCCGGCAGGGAAAAAAAGAGCCGGGAGCAGATCTGCCCAACTCTTCCCTTCTTTCTTCTTCTCTTTCAGGAGCCCCCACCCCGCTTTGCCTCTCTCTCCTCCTCCTCCTGCTCTGCAATCAGGGAAATAAATCAGGGAAGGACATACACGCACATAGAGTGAGCGGGGATCTGTTACAAAAGTAGCGCTGATGGCGGCGGATCAGATGAAGCTGGAGCTGCTGCTGGAGTAGCAGAGAGTAGAGTATCTCTCCGTCTCTCTTCTCTATTTCTCTTCTTCCCCTCTCCACCCACAGATCTCCATCGTTTCTCCTCCTCCTTCCCACCCTCGGCCGTGCTCCCGCTTCTCCACACATCTCTGGGCTGCGCCTCCTGCGAAGGGGGCGGGTGGGGGGGAGCGGAGGAGGCTTTAAAAAACAACAGCCCCCCCCCCGCCACCACCACACCACACACGATAATTGCATTTATTATTATTGCCGTCTCGCCGACTTGGGGAAGGGGGATCGATCTTCGATCAGGAAGATGGCTGCTGGCTGGCTGCTGGTTTTTAGCCTGACACTTTTCCAGTCCTTGGTGATGAACCACTCTTCGGAGGGACCTTTCCCCTCTGCCACCACGTAAGTCCCAAGGGGTGCAGGACGGGGTTGCGGGCGGGAGGCACGGCCGGGGCTGCACCGAGGGGAGCGCGGCCCCGGCCACAATACAAAGGGAAATAAATAAAGTCAGTCCGGGCGGTGAGGTAAAACTGCAGGATTTCGGCTGTTTTCACTCGGGAAAGAGTAACGGTAGTTCGGGGTGCCGGGAGGAGGGGAGCGTGCCCCGGTCACAGGCGGCGACGGGACTTATAACACGAATGCTTCGCCTTGGAGCCCCGAACCCGAGCACCTCCCGGTGCTAAATATACCTCGGCAGCTCGGCAGCGCTGAGGGGAAAGTTTCGAGTTACACAGAGCCCGCCCCCTCCTCCCACAAAGGTTATTTCAGCCTGGCTGGAGTTCTGACACTGCTGAAAAAATGTTTTAAATCTGAAACTTTCAAGATTATATGAAAATCCGCTCAAAAAGCAGATTTTCTGGCGTGTGAATCAGGCAGAGGGGAAGGCTCAGAGTTGGGAGCCGATGCCTCAGCTCCCCCCTGCCTGGCCGTGGTCCAGCGTACCCCGGAGGGTGTTGGCAGCCTCGGGGTATGTTTTGTGCCCGGGGCTGTGGGGGGTGCGGGATGGTGCCCACGCCTGTGCCACACCGAAGCGGTTCAGCATCCTTAAAGCAACACAGCAGAACTGCTTTCCTCAGGGCTGGCCTTGCAAATCGTTACTTCTCAAAACCCGCCTTTAAGGGAGCTGAGGGATGCTTTCGGTGCGAGCAGCTTTGTGTTTTGCGTGGCCGTGAGATAGAGATCTTTAAACCACTGCATGCTTAGCAGAATGGAAGTGTTGCTCAGAGCAGTGCAAAGATCACATAATGAAAGCGTGCAAAAAGAGAAAGGCAGAAATAAGCTTCCATCATACTGGAGATTCGTCTACAGATCGGGGGGGGGGGGAGATCCACAGCAAAACACTGTGGATAGGGTTTCCTTGCCTTTTCTTCTCTTTTTTTTACCTTATTATTTTTATATTCTTTTTTGTTGTTTGGAAACATTTACCTTAGTCCCTGAATCCGGGTTAAAGCCACCACTAGGTAACTTTTAGGTGGATGTCTCACTTTAATGCATTTTACTTAAGAAAAACAGTGCTAATGGTAGCCTTCCCTATTGTTTAACGCTGGGTAGAATTTATTGCCCTCGTTCACGCGGTGCAGAAGGATGAGTTTGCAGCAATTACCAGCAATGCATTTTCACCAATTAGTACTGCTGGTAGGTTGTTATAATTGGATTCAGTTCTGAGTATCGGTGCCATTATGAGAGACTCAAACGGGTACTCGCACTGTTAAATGAAAGAAAGGAATACAAAGACTAGTATAAAATAACCACTTAATGTCTTCTAAGTTAAATAAATATAGCCTTTCATTGGAGGGAAAATTATCTTTTAAAATACTCTTGTGTTGCAATTTATAAAGATGTGTCACATAGAAGCAAGAGTGACAAAATGCAAAGCCAGGGCTTTTTAAGTCAGTGCTTTTCTTGTGTTTGAGCTCCTCTATTTACTGTTTCTTACTGAGCTGGTAAGTTATCATGCACAATTAAAATTTATCTTCTAAATAGATTTTTCTAGTTTTAAAGGAGAAAGACATATGGAACCTAGTGAGATTAAAAGAATACTGTATAAAAAGGATAGTGTATAATTTCAAATAGAAATCTAGATCGCTTTTTAGCATAACATTATGTGATATTTCCTTAAAATTGTTTTTGTCCTCCTCTCTATGTTTGCTGATTCCGTTCAGAATTTGCCTTCACTGCCAGTGATGATAACAGAAATTGTCAACAGGGAAATATATAACTTTAATTATAACTATACCTATGATTAAGTAATTTAGAATATGTTATTAGTCCGCAGCATTTCCATGTTCTTCACAATCCACTTGCTGTTGGCTTTTTTTTTTCTCATTATTATCCCATTGAAACATTGTAGAAACAATCTATAGTACCTGTCCATCCTTCACAGTAATGTTTCCCCTTTGAAATTAAATCAAAGAGCAAAGATGCTTTAGTTCGTTCAGAAGACAGCACAACAGGGTTATGCAGGGAGAGCTGCTCTGAAAAAAAGTAGTGATGTCACAGGTGAAAGGGAAAACATTTTTGGGTTTCTTTATTAAGACTTGGCAGCTGTGTTTTTCCCACTATAGATTACGAATGGGGAAGAACAAGGAGAAGTGATGCAAATGCCATTAATATGAAAGATTTAATAAGAATATTAAAAATAGGAAAAAAACACAGGAGAAGAGAATAAAGGAAAGAAAGGACATTAATAATTAAAGAACCAAAGGTTTGCTGATATTATGTTCATAGCTACCTGCTCTCTCTCCATTATTTTCAGTCTCCTTTCCTCTTAGCTAAAAAGTTGGTCTGAGGAAGCAGCATTTCCCAGCTGTTGTCTGAACAATGTGCATAATCTGGACTATATAGTTCATGATTTCATTAACAGCTCATTATTATACAGTCTCTTTCCCTTCAGTCATCTGTTCCTTCTGCATCAATATATAAACATGCGCTTTTACTAAAGCATTCAGAAGTCCTGATCAGTAGTATGCAAGTATGAAACATTCTTAGCAAAAAAAAGTGATGAAGGTTTAAGCAATGCTGTTTGATAGAATCCCAGTCACTTGATTAATTTTACTTCTCTGACAAGGCAAAAAGGCTCTGATATATTTATCCAGCAACTCAAGAGAATTTAAAGGGAAGGGTTGTGCTGGATGAAATGGGAGCCTTAATTTTTCATTGTGAATCTGAGCAGGTGGCATAATTGCATTTGTTGCTTCCTGTGTTGGAGTATTTCACTGCAAATATTGAAGGCTTTTTTTTTTTTTAATGAACTGCTTAAATATAGCAGTAATTATGTCTTGATCTTTAGCTATAAGGCTTAGCTACCAGTTGGTACGTATTCGGTTTCATTAAAGAATATCATTTTCATTGTATCATGTATTAGGGATGTATTATATGTTGGTACAGGATATCATGCTCTTACTTTTAATGTAACAACTCCAAGGACTTCAATTATATATGCAGCACAGTAGATATTTTGCACTTATATGAGTATATTGTTGTATATAGTACTCCTGTCACTATAACCGCACTACTGCTAACACAGTACACTAAGCGCTTCCTTCTTTGTAACCATATATGTCTGTTTATTATCCACATCTGCACAGGCTTGAGGAAAAAAGATACTGTTCAATAAATGCAGTCTGTTTTGTAATAAAGGTTGTACAGAACTCACTTTATTTCTATTCTTTTATCTATACTTCATCAAAACAGGTAGTCTTGAGTTTAAAAATATGTTGTAATTCTAAAGTATGGTTTTGACACAGTATGTCTTGCTAGTTTTGATTTCTACTGATAGCGAGCAATATATGATATACAGCTATATCTGCTGCTTTCTGATGATAAACCTGTGTGTGCTGATGAAAAAAGAAGCAGCAAACAACAAAGCAAAGCAGATATTTTAATTTGGATAAACCTACAAAGTAGCCTTTCAATACCAGTGGGATTGTTGCTGTAATTGCATCATTCTGGATATAGCTTAATGTCTGTTTTTCTTTTCTTTTCTCTTCTCTAATTTCCCTCCCCCACTCTTTTTTATCTTTTGTCCTTTTTTCCCCCTCAGTTCACCTGTTCTGTATGTAAATATTAAACTATACATTATATTCAAGCCAGATATGTTACTTAAATAAATGGTGTAAAACATCTGCAGATAAAAATAATATACAAAAGATAAAAATAATATACATATGAACACATATATATATGTATGCAGGCAGGAAATTTTTAGAGGAGACATTGTGTATCCCCATTTTTCATTTGCATGAGTTATTCTTACTGTTTTGGTGTCATTAGGACAGCTCAGGGAAGTCTGTATGAGTCATGTGAATTAGAGCTTGCACAACTGGGACATCTGTATTTTTGGTTTCTGCACATGGACCGAACAAGTATAGATCTTGGTGAGAAGTAGCTGGGTTTGGTACACAATATCACTCTATATAGAATCAGTGACCACATGTAGATAGAGGATACTTACGATGTGTTCTGTTCATCTGTTTCTATTGTCAGATTTAGGGATTTTGACACAACACATATACATGTAATCTCATTTTTAGCACAAAGTTTGTGAAAGAAAAATGCCAGTTTTAATGCTGATGTTCATTAGAAAATAATGTAATTTGAAAATTGTGTTTAAATTAAATAAATATATATTTAAAAATCTTCATTATGAGGATAATATCAGAAGTCTATCATCTCCATATGAATTGGAAAGAAGCCAAAGATGTAATCTACCTAGAATCAGGGAAGTGCAATATCACCTCTTAGTGTTTTCTCAGCAGCACGTCTGGATGCTGAGCTTTATGCAAGATGAGTAAACCTGCCGGTATTTTAAAAAGCATCCCTCCAATCCATTCTTCTAGTAGAAACATACTTAAAGATGAGTGCAAAGCAGCTTGTTGATTGGTGTTGGTTTCTTTTTGTGTCTCTGTATGTGTGGTGTTGATAAATTCAAATTTGTGGTTCCACAAAGCATTTTTCTGTTTCTCATATTTTATCATGTAAACTGTGAATGTGATATTTTTTTCTTATTTCCTTCTTAGAAATTTGTGCTGGGGCCTCAAAATTAACAAACCCTATAGATTTACATTTTATTAAGTGTGAAAATTCAGCTTAGAATGTCAAAGTAGATACTGATCATAAGAGATGAAATTTCACTGAAATAAATAAGCATCGTAGAGGTTCTTGCCATCTTTCATTTTGCAGTGATGCTATTTTCAGAACTGCATTGCTCATACCCTGCAAAATGATTTTATCCAAGAATTCAGCTGCTAGAGAGCTGGAGCTTGGCAGCACATTAGTCTGAAATATATTCATTGTTAAATAGAAGGCCTTTTGTACAGATCTTAAAAATATTTATCTAGCAGAGCATTTTAAATCGATGGAGGCATGGTCAAATTATTATTACTTTAATCTTTAGTAGCAAA